CATGCCCACTATCAACACTGCTGTTCGCTGTAGTTTTGAAAACATTAGCCACAGCAATTAGACAAAAGAAAGAAATAAAAAAATAAAGATAGGAAATGAAGAAGTCCAATTGTCATTTTCAGATAGCATGATACTCTGTATAGAAGACTCAAAAAGCTCCACCAATAGGTTAGGTAGAAATCTTGAAGTAATTTGGGTATGAAAAGATTTTATAAAAACAACCTCAGTGGCATGTGAACTAGCACAATCAACAAGTGGAATCTCTTCTCTTTAAAAGCTTCTACACAGCACAAGAAACCACCAATGTTGTGAAGAGACAATACACAATATGGAAAAAAATATTGTCACCAGCTTTATCTCAAAGATCTACTGTCTAGAATATATAAAGAACTTAAAAAATAGACCTCCAAAATTTAAAGACCCATTCTAAAAATGGGCATCTAAAATGAAAGGAGATTTCTCAGATAAAGAAGCAGGAATAGTAAATAAATATATGAAAAAGTGTTCAACATCACAGGTGATTTCAAAGACACAAATGAAGACAATGATGAGATGTCACATCCCCCAGAAAGAATAGCTGCTGTCAAGAAATAAACCAATAACAAATGCTGGCAATTATGTGGGAAAAGAGGAACACTGCTCCACTACTGGTAGGAGTGTAGGCTGGTGCAAACACTGTGGAAATCAATATGGAGATACCCCAAACAATTAGGATGAGAAGTCCCATTTGACGTAGGTATTCCATTGCTGGGTATCACTCACAAAGAATTAAAAGAATCATACCACATTGATATATGTGCATCTATGTTCAAAGTAACACAATTTGTACTAGCTAAAACTTGGAAGCAGCCTGATTCCCATTTATCCAATGGGAAACTGGATAAAGAAAATATTTTTATATAAAATGGAGTACTACTTAGCCATAAAAAATAGAAATTAGTGACATTTATAGCTAAATAGATGCACATTTGAATAATACTCTTAAATTAAATAAATAGAAATACATGTATAAATACTGAGTAGTTCCTCTAGTGTGAGAAACTGAAAGTATAAGGACTAAAAGTTATAATAGATAATGTGAAACAGGAAGTAAAGGGACAAAGGGAAAGGAGAAATGGGAGGAGTAGGAGAAAGTTAAGAAGGAAATAGAATTAATATACGAACATGAAAAAAATCAAAACAAAGTCTTTTCAGAGAGGGAGGGAAGGAGTGGTTGAAGGGAGGGAAGGAAGATGGGGAAAAATGGAACCAAGATTGATTATGTAAAGGAACAAATTTCTAAATATGAATGTTATTATATTGTATACCTTAAATGTACCAATAAAATTAAATTTAAAAAAAGAAAATGTTGGTGTTGTTTATCAATGCCTTTAATTGGGAAATTTTACTACCCACTTACTATGCCCTCAATTTGAAATCTGTGTACACAGAATAAATTCATTTGAAGTTGTTAAATAATTTGTCATTACACCAAATTTGAAGATCACTGCTTTGGAATATTTACTGTGTTTACAAAATAATTCCACACTGTTAGCTTACTGTTAAAAATATCTAATACCTACATCAAAACACCAAAATATAAATGCTTGCCTTATAATTAATTATTGATGCTAATTTGAATTTTGTATAAATTTGATGAGTATCCAGATATGATACTTCATACATATTTAAATAATTATCTACCAACCCTGTACATGATTCCATTGTGTTTCACACATATCCCTAAAGGCAGCAAACATCAAGAAGTTTGTGTGTAAACCTGACTGTCAATGTCCTCATACCAGTAGAGAATTATGGATTTCTAAACAGATTCTCAAACATCTTAGCTCAAATATACTTAATATTTATTTAGTAACCACAAACTGATTTCTTAAAAACATACACTGAAATTAACTAATGCTCTTCTAAGCAATCTACAACATACCTATTGCATTGAATTTTATTAGTTTATATTTATGTGCATATCCAAGGCTCTCTAGGAAGTACTTATGGCTGCTTTCAATCTTGTTAAGCTTTATCAGATGAAAGGACATGATGTAATTTGTTACATTATTATTTTGTTGGTATCCTTCCAACACTGTTGTGACTCTCTTCATTTTATATAAATGAAAATTACCAGACACTATGTGAGTGGGGGGTGTTTGTTGAAACTCCAACATGTGATATATAGTCAATATTACTATCATTTACATTTCTTCCCATAAAAAATCAATCCTATCATTTACATCATATCACTCTTAAGGTATAGTTTAAAAATTTCCCTTAGGTATATCTACTACTAATCCTTGCATCATTACTGATCAAAATATTTCACCTTGTATAAAATGAAAATGTTAAGTGGGATGAGAGTTGGGAAATTACTCTGTAAGGCATGTGGTATTTACCTTGCAATAAATGTACAGTGTATGTAAATTCATGCAGTTATCTGAGCTCTTACTCCTTGCTGGAAATATGAGAACTATCAAAACTTTCCACAATATATTCACACCTAAAGAAGTTTGGAACTCAAACATTTAGTTACTGTGAGTTTTCTTTTCAAATAAAGCATTCTACTGAACTAGAAATTTTATTGTCAAGGGAACTGGAGACTGTGATGAAGTAAAATACAAATATGTAACTCAGCACCATTGTTGATATTATATTCTTTCCTGTATGTATTTTTATATTCATGAAAATATTTGCTATGATCTCTGCAATACTGTCCACTCAATTTGAGCCAAAAAGTCTACATGCAGTTTAGCCCAGATTTTTGTTTTTAATTACTCCTGTGTGCCAAGATAGATAACAACTGGGGAATCAGCAATCAATTTTCTCTAACCACATGCATACATTTTCACAAAGGAAGTACAAAATTCCCCATCATGTAAAAAAGAAAATGACAATTTGAGATACCAGAATATATTATTGTAATGTAATGAAATTGAATCTCTTCTCATTTATTCTAGTGCTGATAACTACTTTTAATTTTAGCTTTCTGTTACACATTAATTGTCTATTAATAATGGGAGAAGCATCCATTATATGTTTAATCCATAATTATTACAGTAGTATAAACTAGAACTTAACTCATATGTTAAATATAAAAACAACCTACCACACTTTTCATAAGTAAGGGGTGGGTACAACATTCCAAATTAAATTTTCAGCCTCTGTATGGGATTCACAAATCTTGTTATTTCTAACCATCATAAAGTTTTCAGCTACCCTGTAAGTATTTATGTCTACACTCTAGTTATATAATGGAGTGTAAAACTCCTTTCAGTTTTCAGATTTGGAGAGAAATCTAACCTTAACTCATTTCTCCTGTAGATGTTAAGAAGGATCATTTGTCAGAAAAGAGAGGGATGTGGAGAGCATAAAGGAAAGCATGGAGTCAGATCAAGCATGAGATCACTACTAATCATTGTAGAACTTCTCAATCTTTGATTTTTACTTCTTAAATTAGATATGCTTTCTAAAGTGGAGGCAACAGTTTTCCCCCTTCTGTCCACAGTGAACTACCTGGAATGTCTAATGGTAGAGTTGAGTAATAAATGGGTGATTCCTGGAGTGAGAGGAAACAGAAATGCATGCTTGCACTGTCAAAGGAAATATGTGCCAGGATTTTCCTGTTAAAATGTCATGTATGTGTTTTCAGACAGCTTTTGATAAATATTTCTTCACTATTTTCTTTTCTTTTACTGTTTTTTGCATTGGGGATTGAACTCAGGCCCTTGCACTTGTGAAGCAGGCACTGGAACCACTGAGTGAAATCCTCAGCCCTTTCTTCACTGTTTTCTAACCAACAACTTGTAATTAGCTATACAAAATTGTGGTGCTATAGGAGCTTCCACTCAGAAATATTGTACACATAAAATAGCACTGATTTCCTAGAATACATAACTTACATGTTTTATGTAAGGTAATCTTCAGTCATTGCTTCATGATGTTATGGTTATTTTCAACAGTCCCCCATTGGTCTTCTCTACTATAATCTTTCTGAGAATCTGAGGAAATAGTTTACTGATACCCATAATATGCGATCATTGGACAGACATCTATGAAAAGCAGGACCAATGTGGGAGGAAAGGAAAATTTGACTGAGATTTTGCATCCCCATATCAATCAAGTACATATATTACACAGTCCTCTTAACTGAAACTGCATAATCTTATCATCCCATCTCACTATCCAAACTTTCAGACATGTCTTCTTGATAGGAAGTAATGTTTCCAGCAGTCCTATCCTCCGATCATTACTTTCTGAGCTAGCCTGTGTGTTTACTATGCGGTGTCCAATATCCCACACTCCCGATCTCCCTGAGGACCAGGCAAGGCTCAAGGACAGCCTTGGAATTGTTATGGACAATGTCAAATAGAGGCTTTCCGTTTTAGATGAACATGAAAGGGGAGATACAGGCATCTAAAGATGTCAAACAAACACTAAAAAAATAGACTGGTTATGTCATATCACATGACTTTATTTATAATCTCTATGCACAGTGCTTATACTTATACATATTGGTACACATTTTTCCAATCTAAAATATCAGAAACTCAATGGAAATTTAAAGAAATAAATGTCACAAAACATTTCTGCTCTTCCTTTTCACAGAAAAAATTTGAGTATTATTAGTTTTGTTAATTTTTCCCTTTAAAAACAAGTCCTCAGTTTTTTATTTCAATTTTTCATTGTGAAAAGATGTACTTATCCAACGGCACCATTTTAAGTAACTTTAGGTGAAGATTTTGATTACATATGTTATAAATTTTTTGTGTCAAACTCTCATTTAACCCATCTCCAGAAACATTTCACTTTCTCAACTGAAATTTACACTTGTATGAACAATAATAAATACTCCCCTAGATCACCCATGATTCTATGATAAAAGAACACATAAAGATAAAGAAAGAAAACTTCATAAATAATAAATATAAGGATGAAGAATTTTAAAATGAGCTTTGGATTTTCTTTTTCACCAAATTTTCTAAGCTACATTTGAAATAAAGGGGGTCCTGGGATTAGATTTTCCAATGGTGGAGCCTCTTCATTGCGCTACTGATATCCCTGTTCCTCAGGCTGTAGATGAAGGGATTCAGCATAGGGGTGACCACAGTGTACATCAGTGAGGCCACCATGCCCTTGCTTGGAGAATATGATGCACTTGAACTAAGATACGTTCCAAGGACTGTTCCATAAAATAAGCAAACAACTGACAGGTGAGAACCACAGGTAGAAAAGGCTTTGTAACTCCCCTGAGGTGAGGGGATTTTAAGAATCACAGATACAATTTTATAATAGGAGAAAATGATCCCTGACATAGGAAAAAAACCAAATAGGATGCCAACCATATATGCGACTATGTTTTTGATTAAAATATCAGAGCATGAAAGGTCAAGAAGTTGAGAAGGGTCACAAAAGAAAGTAGCAATTTCCACATCTTTGAAACATGTAACTTTTAAGGCAATTAAATTGTGCACCTGGGAATCCAAGAGGCTAGCAAAGACTGACAGTAAAAGTAACAAGACACAGCGATGAGGGTTCATGATTATTGCATAATGCAAGGGGTAGCAGATGGCTACAAAGCGGTCATAGGCCAACACAGTAAGAAGCATGTCATCCATACATCCAAATAGGATAAAAAGAGACATCTGTGTTAGGCAGTTTGCATAGGAGATGACTCTATGATGAGTTAGGATGTCCACAATCATCTTTGGGACTGTAGAGGAGGTGAAACAGATGTCAGCCAAGGACAGGTTGGAGAGGAAGAAGTACATAGGCATGTGGAGGTGGGAGTCAGAAATGACAGCCAGGATGATGAGCAGGTTTCCAAGCACTGTGACCAGGTACATGGACAGGAAGAGTCCAAAGAGAATGGGCTGAAGGTCTGGATCCTCTGAGAAGCCCATGAGGTAGAATTTTGAGACATGTGTGAGATTATGCCTTTCCATGTTGCTTGAGCACATTTTTAAAATTTCACTGAAATAAATGAAACAAAATTATCACACAAACTCTGCCTATATTCTGAGTTCAAGTATTAATATCAAAAATTCTCAGCAGAGATCCCAACCTTCAGGTGCATTGCTCTCTTGTGATAATTCCACCATCAAGGACTCAGTGTTGGGTGGTTTGTTTTCTACTTCCTCTGCACACACTTACTTTTGAGATACTCTACTTCACAGTGTAAGCAGACCAAGTACTTAGATTTCTGAAGAGCTTGATCACAGTAAAATGTGAAAAACTATTTTCCAGAGAATATAGAGGGTAGTGAAGCCATTCTCCTTTAAGAAAATATGATTAAATTAAAAGAAAAATAAAAATTAAAGTAAAATTAATTCTCTTCAATGATACACCACTTGATCCATTGTGCTAAAAATAATGAATTTTTCATTTTTTTCTGATTTCATCTATTAAAGATGCCTTAGTTTACCCAGCATTTATGTATAAATTGTGCATACAATTTGTTTGTGAAAAAATTACTTAATGTGAAACTTTATCTTTGTCATTTAAAGTAAATTTTATACATTACAGGAGCAGATACATGCCCATAATCTACAGATATAATTGCATCAAATTTAATTAGAGTACACTGCATTTGTTAATATAAATAATAAATGACAAGAATCAATTTTGTCTTTTAATAATTTATGCAGAAGTATTTATCATACAATATCATTAAATATCTGATATATAATATATCTCTTTCTTACTGTAGTCTACCATAGCTTGATAACATGCAGGACTGCTATTCTGATCATAAACCCTCTTGTATCCAGTTGATGACATAGGAAACAGAAAAAGTCCCAAAGCCTTGGCTGAGCCCCAGCCTTCTTAAATCTAACCAGCAGGTTTTCACATCATTCTTTCCTGCTTTACAAGTTGTATTTTTCTTATTTCAGCTGTGTGTGATTGGAACTGTGATCCATATTTTCACCTGGCCATTCTGAGATTTAATAGGGAAAATGCCTCAAAATAGTATGCAAAAAATGTAAGCACACCTTAAAAGTTAGCTGGAGTAGAAAATGTTATGTGAAATCTTGTAAACCCATAAGTAAATAATGTACTCCCCTTTGTCTGCAAAATGTGGATGACAAGTACCTACCTTATGTAGATGCTCAAATATATATTTTGAAAATCATTTAATTTGCATTACTGTTCATTCTAATTTAGGGATGTAATTATCTTAATATTTTGTCATATACACAGATAATCTAAATTTAGCCTAATGTATTAGTCAGAATGTGTAAATTTTAAGTTTTTTAGTCACTTTCTTCAATGAGAGTAGAAAACCTCTGTTTTAGGTTATTTTCTGGCATTTAGAAAATCTTCCATTCATACTACTTATTTATATTACATATAAATATTTAATAATAATTACATCCTCACTAATGTTATTTAGATATCTAAACAACTGCTTAACAATTTGAGTACTTTCTATCATTTTTCTTACTCCCCTCCTTTCCTCCAAGGAATCTGTTGTCATGAATTTTATGGGTAGAATTTCTTGTCAATATCTGCGAGTCAACACTGCTTTATGAATCCACTAGCAATTAATTCTCTTAAAAACATACTTAAAATGGACAAAACTCATCAATCCCCCCAAACAGGCTAAGTTATATCCACAATTAATGGATTTAGGTATTCTTCAACCAATTCACAGTCTTATCATGGAGGAGCTGGAGAGAGTGAGAGAGGGATATAGAGCCATCATTTACCTTGTAAGGTAATTATTATGATAGCATTTTCAAAATTCTTGTGCTTCTTTCCTTGTCATTCATGTTCAAAATAGTTATACAATGTATTGCATATATAATATAATATATCGTATATGTGCTACATGTATTATTTTTTTAATTTCCAAAAAATAATGCATTTAAAATTTTATTTTTTCACATAATAGGTAACTAATTTTTACATACATCCTCTTGTCAGATAAACTTTCAAAATACACCTGACATCTTTTCAGTAATGATCACTTAATGATACCACACAAAGAAATTTAATCATCACATGAGAAATAACATTGCAATTTTGCTTCAGTTTGGGTGTCTGTGTCAATGGATAGCAATGAAGAAAGGAGCATGTTAGTTAGGTTCATTGACCTGTTAGGCAGGGCAGAATGTGTGTGCATCTCTGTTTGTGCTGATAATGTTTGAGAAAGAGCTCATAATGCTTCTCATTAAATAAGGAGAATAGCATTCATCCACATGTGGCAACTAAAGAAACTTAGAACTTAACTATTTAGCAATTGTGAGGTTTCTCAGTCTCAACTGCATTAATTTATGCCATGTCCTTTATAATTTTCTCTCTTATAAGGGTCTTAGGCTTGATTTGTTCTTTTTTTTTTTTTTTTTTTTTTTTGAAGCTTGAGGTTCAATATTTAGGTTGTTTATTTGGGCTCTCTTTGTTTCCTGATATGAGAGATTTCACTGCTATAAAATTTCCTTGTAGGACTACTTTCATTGATCCCCATGAGATTTTTTTATTGAGTTTATTGGTACATTTTAGGTATACAGTACAGTTACATTCATTATTGGGATCTTTTACTTTCACATGACAGGACTTTGTTCTCGTTTTTTACCCCTTGTCCCTACCCTCCATTCACCCTTTCCTCCCCTCCCCATTTACAAACACTTTATCTCCATTATTTATATTCTCATATTGTTTTCTTTTCCCTTATTACCTTTCCCCTACCCTTCCCACTTTTCCTATACCTTTAGCCTTTTACTTCCCATTTCACATTGTCAATGAGATTTTGTTTTTAAAATAAAGATGTACACTATTAAAAAATTAGGAAGCTTATTAAGTATAGTCAACTGCATTAATTTGCATTGGAGCCTGAAATGGTATATATATATTTTTTCTTTTTTGGTACTAGGGATCACTCAGGTCCTTTCACTTGTGAGGCAGGTGGTGGAACCACTGAGTTAAATCCCCAGCCCTGGTACAAAGATTTTTAATCTACCTAAGCTTGAGGCATAAAATCACAATTTCCCTTCCATTTGTGCCCATTAAACACATGGATACCTTTGTGACATTTTATTTGTAAATAACCTATAGAGATACATACGAGTAGATTATAGTGTCCATGACACGGAAAAAAAAAGCTATTTTGCAATGTCTTTAGATCTATGGAGGCTTTGTGAAGGGAATGGAGCTACAGATAATAAGGTAGTAAGCATCTTCTCATCATGCTGATTAATTATGAGTGTGATGATTAGGGAAGGGTCCATTACATGCTGAACACATGTTCATTTTTTTTTTATGTCTCTCCTATGCCAAATAAGCTATAGGTTCAGAAAATCAGCTGGAAAGGAAAGAACATCATTCCTATCCACACATATGAAAATACTCACAGAAACACAAACAAAATATCCTGCAAACAGAAAAGGAGTGACTACAAGACACAGGAGATAACGGATAAAAATACACTTATCAATAAGGGTAATGAGAGCTATATTTTAATTTGCTTTAATTTTATAGGCATTAACCCTAAATAGAGCACCCCTTATGTGCATAATCCTTGGTGAAGTTGCTTCAACAAAAATTTAACACTAATGACAATATTCTCTCAGAAATATTAAAATCCCTCCCTGCATCATGGTGATAATAAGTGGAGCTGAAATGATTAAAAAATAAATTGAAAGATGCTATCTGATACACTGAAATTTTTAACTGTTTCCAATCCACAGAAGAATTTGTTCAGAGGTTCAGAGTTGATAGATATTGGTAATTTAGAGGCATGTTTGTAACTCTCTCATTTCCTCAAGAAAAATGAAGTCAAAACATGACTTTTCCACATTTGAGCAGTGGGAAATAAGTGCAACCATGTAGAAGAATGTGGGAATCTCAAAAATATCCTACAGTGGTGTCAGGAGAGAAATCTGTGCTGAATGCTCAAGGGACTGAGCATAGTCTTCCACATCTGTCTACAGTGGATGCAGCTTGGGCTATGCACTGTAAACCTTCAGGAACTTCAACAGTAAGGCAATGAGCAAGGGCCCTCTCATGAAGTGACAGAATTTTAATTATCTCCTTGTGCTAAAGGAGAACCTAACAGAAATGTCCCGTGTCTATAATCAGACAACCCAATTCTGCCAAGTCCTTTTCTACATAACAACTAATCCAAGGTGCCATTAACATCTCAGATTATTCCATTTTTAAACATGTAATAACAATGTAAGCAAAAAAAACTCCAGAAAGACAGAGAACATGAAATAAAAAAGACACATTGTAGAAATTGCTCTGTGTCTGTAAGATAGGAAGCCCTCAAATCCAGTTCCTTGTGTTGTGGTTACTGTCTTCCTCTATTTCCTGATCACCACCTTTATAGTCCCTTTATACCACTTAGGAGACTCTAGACAAGAGCAATCTTTCTGCTGTCATGGGTGAGATATCAATGAAAATAGAAACAGTGTACAGAAAGCAAATTTGAAATAATAACTCTTATTTCACCACTACAACCAAGATTATAAAATTTGTATTCTTTATCACTGGTATATTTTGATATTCATATATTCCTGATTGACCTTTATGAAGTCAAACTTCTAGTCAGGATGAGGAAATAGTAATTTTAAGTATTCTTCTCATATAAATGATGTCCCTTCACACTTACTGGGTGATGATGTTTCTAGCTGGGTCATAGTCAAGGAGAGCAGATCCAAAAACCTTCCTATGTCTGTTGCATAGTTAAAGTTCCATTTCTGTCTTTGAGATTGAAATTTACACAAGTACACGTAGGAGCCTCATAATACAAAGAAAAACATAGCTTTGGACACAGGACTGGAGTCACTAAAGGACTGGAGGTTGACTATTAACAACTCTGTGAACTTGGGGTCCCAGTGCACAGAGCTAGCTCATAATTAGCTAAGTTGGTCCAAGCCACCCAAGTCTCTAAGGACTTCCAAACACTAATGGAGGAAAAAAACAAAAGGAATACAAGTATTCCAAAGAGGTTTTGGGTTTC